ATAATGTCTAGTGTGCTACACATTACACTAACATGAAATAATGACATAATGTGACGTCATGGCGATGTAATACCTTGCTATTCTTGGAGGGTCAGAGGAGCGAGTTGGTCTCTCAGTGTCGAGAGTCGCTCTCTCACATCTCGACATTCCAGCTGGAGGGCCGACAGCTCTGCCTGCGCCTCTGACACGCATGATTCCAGTCTGACTCGCTGACACCAACTAGACACAGATTTTCGGGGGAACACAAACAACAGTGTGGTTATGATTTTACGACACAACTAGACAGTTTTACACGGGGAACAGATTCAACAGTGTGAGTTATGATTTTACTGACACCAACTAGACACACATTGACACGAACAAGTAATCAACTAACAACACATCTATATAAAGCTTTCACTGACATAACAGAAAAAGGGTTCTGCAGAAGTAATATCAACCATATACAACTTAAGGGAATGTGGGATTATTAAATAAGGGCTTGATATATATTACTAAAGATGTAACTTATAGGCCCGTGCCAGATTATTTTTTGCTCTTATAGACTGCCACATTCTGTTTACAATTGAAACGTGTCCCGACTGACACGGGTGTGTAAACCCAAGATGTAGGGAGGGAGAAAGAGAAAGAAGAAGATATAAACCTCGTCGTGTTCTGCATCTTGCTTGATCTTGCAGCGAGAGGCCTGCTCTCGCTGCAGTTCGTTTCAGCGCCATGGACAGTTCTCCTCTTCACACTCTGACCACTTTTCCGCTCAGTTCATCTCTCTCCTGGGTCCACCTGACGTCATGCAGCAGGAGGAGAGGAGGAGGAGAAGGAGGAGGAGGAGAGGTGGGAACGTGTTAACAGTGACCACGCATTTCTGGAGCTAATGAATACGATGCCTCTCAGAATAAACAGTCGCTGTCGCGAACAAGATGCAATTTGGGTTGAGATAGAGAGTTGTATGTGCTCCAATGAGCACGAAGAGCGGTTACGTACGTACACAGTTTAATGGCAATTGAAATTCAGAAATTTAAAGATGAGAGTGAACATGATTTCGGCCTCAAATATAGAACGAAAAGGCTACATTAGATTGCTTGCCTATAAGAGCGAGTTACTACATTTATCATTGCTGGCCTAAAAAACACAACACAGTGCTTTATGTGAAATTAAAATGTGTGCCAGCGCATCATGAGACTGTACAAACTACAGTAGTACGTATATTGATTGACTTTGATTTGTGCAGGAGCATATAGTAAAGCTGTAGCTTGTAGCTAAAGACACAGATGTGTGCAACTATAGCAATACATTGTATGAACACCATGTACAACGAACTACTAACTATGCAGTAGTACACCATACGTACCTCCTCCAGTTCAGCAGCTCTCTCGTCGAGATTGACTGAAGATCACTGATGGTCTGGTCCTCTGTCCTCCAGTAGAGCCAGCTGCTCTCTTGTGAATCTGCAGGAGGAAGAGAGGGAATTCTGTGTCACCTCCATCTCATCTCACGCTCATCTTTCCCCTATCTCACTCCAACTGTCGTCTTTCCCCTATCTCACTCCAAACCTTTGTCTTTTCGTCACAATATTCATCTTGATCCCACCTTTCATCTTTCCTCACTCATCTTCCCTCACCTCTTTCCTCACCCATCCTTTCCCTCACTCCATCTTCCCCCAAATCTCTCTCCACATCACTATTGCCCCCTCTTCCCCCGCCCTCTCTAAGAGATTGATATAGTACAGTTGTACATGCTTTCAGACGTGACTGCATACTAAATAGAGAGAGAGAGAGTGAGAGAGTCGAGAGAAAGATATTTCGTACCCTCCCATTGGGTCCCAGAGAGAGGAGGAGAGAGCGATGAGAGGAGAGGCGAGAGAGAGAGAGAGACGTCGAGAGAAATGTAGCGTACGCATGTCAGAGAGAGAGGAGAGAGGATGTATGTCGTACCCTCCCATGTCCAGAGATAGAGAGAGAGAAGATCTAGCGAGAGGAGAGAGAGAGAGAGAGAGATATTTCGTACCCGCCATGTTCAGAGAGAAGAGAGAGAGAGAGAGAGAATATTTCTTACCCTCCCATGTCAGAGAGAGAGAGAGAGAGCAATAGAAACGGCAGCGCTCCGGCTGATCCTAGATCGTGGCGGCACGGTAAGGGGTTAGATCAGCAAACTGAAATAAAACTCCTTCAGTTGGATATCGTAATATCATCCAGCATGGGCCCCCGGCTCGGAGGACCATGACCGACGGATGGGGGTAAGAGTGCCGGCGCAAGCAGTCAAGAAAGAGCGAAGCGTGGTGGAGACGGGGGGGAAGGGAGGTGAAGGGAGTAGAAGAATTAGTATATTTCGTACACTCCATGTCCGAGAGGACGAGGGAGAGAAGAGAGAGAAAGATGTATTTCTTACCCTCCCATGTCCGAGAGATAGAGAGAGAGAGCGATATTTCGTCCCTCTCCCTGTCAGATAAAGAGAGAGAGAGAGAGATTTCGTACCCTCCCATGTCTAGAAGAGATAGAGAGATTCGTACCCTCCCATGTCCAGAGAGAGAGAGAGAACGAGATTTCGTACCTCCCATTCCAGAGAGAGGAGAGAACGAGATTTCGTCCCTCCCATGTCAGAGAGAGAGAGAGAGAGAGAGAGAGAGAGAGAGAGAGATATTTCGTACCCTCCATGTCGAGAGAGAGAGAGACTAGGATTTCGTACCCTCCCAGTCAGAGAGCGAGAGAAAAGATATTTCGTACCCTCCCATGTCAGAGAGAGGAAGAAAAGTATTTCGTACCCTCCCATGTCAGAGAGAGAAGAGAAAGATATTTCTTACCCTCCCATTGTCGTAGCTCTTGCTGAAGAGAACCGATTTGTCTATTCTGAGCCTTTTTCAACCTCTGTTCTCCTCCTGTAACGTGATCAGAAATAAACTTACATCATCATTACATCGTCAGACCCTGACTCGATACCCCATTGAATCATCACTACTCCTCACACATCACGTTGATCCAGATGAACACTACATTCATCATAATTTCCATCTCAACGGATTATTATACTGCACACCTCTGTGGTTGGCCGTTTCAGTTCTCGTCAAGAAACAGATTTCCGCTCCTTAGCCATCTCAGTCCTCTCTCTGACCTGTTGACATGGTGCAAAGAAATTAGGAAACCCCTACATTTCATTTCCATTAGCTTTGTACATACTACATGAGGAACAGTACGTGTACTTGTTAAAAACGGTATCTCTTCATTTGCTTACCTTCTTCTTCGAGAGCCTTATATGATCGAATAATGACTCATTGCTTTTAACACCTCCACCTCACTACTCCATGCCAGCTGTAATTGAGGATGGGAGGGAGGGAGGGAGGGAAAAAAAAAGAGAAGAAAAGAAAGAAATAAAAAGTAGAGCAATAATTAACCCTTCCGTGAACGGTGTCCTCCATGGCAACTGACCCTGGTGAGCAGTCTGTTTCCTGACGAAGTCCCATTCGCAGACTTTTCTCGTGTCTCGCCACCAGACACTCGCAGGTGCTCCAGCAATAACTATGAACATCATATTACATATGAATATGACACGGCATTGTAAAAGATTATGTTATGGCAATCATAGTGTAATGAATATGCCATCATAGCGATGTATGGATTAAAAACTCACTCGAGTGTTTTTCTCTCAGATTTCATTTTCGCAACTATCCTCTTCTTTCTCTCGGCTTTCTCTTTAGCAGCTGCCAGTTTCTCTACCAGACTGGTCGTACTTCTACAGAATTGCAGAGAGAGAGGAAAGAGAGGAAGAGAGAGAGTGAGATGAGAGAGAAGAGAGAGTTGGGTGGAAATGTGGTAACAGACGGACAGACGGCAGACAGAACGACTACTGTAGTGTAGGTAAATATTCCTGCAAAATCCCCATCTTTTGCATGTACATGAAGAATTTAAAAAGCCTCCTCATATATTCTTCCTGCACATGAGCAAGTTGTGCCGGAAATTTCTTACATTTTACTTGAAATTCCTGTACATTATGATATAGGTTTCCTATTTAAATGAGAGAGTGTTAACAATATCAGTAAATCTTTCATGCTTTAGCAATAAAACTTTGCGTTTTTGCATTTCCCCCTCATGTCATGTGACACACCAAAAAACCGACACATTGTAAAAACCAAGTTTCAAAGTCGGAAAAAACTTCCATCCCTATTGCATCTCCTCTCCACCTACTTTAGCAACAGGCCATTCTTCATGTCTTGCTCGCCATGTCCGTTGGCCAGCGATCCCACACCTCCACTTCTCCTCAAGTCGTCCAGTAGTTCATGGAGAGACTTCTCATCCTACAGGTCACATTACAGTCCACATGATACATCACACGACAGTCACGTGACAGCAAGAGTATTGTACATACATGAGTACATATTGGACACCCATCACACCAATGCATTGAAGGTTCAAGTATATTTTTCATCGAATTTGGATTTGGAAAAGTAAATTATGTGCTCAAGTGGTCTACTGTGGCTCCTGAGGGGGGTGTGGTGGTGGCGAAAGTCGAGAAAGCTATTCCACAAGAGGGGGTAGTAGAAGAAAGGATTATATATACCTCAGGCAGTCAAGGCTTGCAGCTGTCTCATGAGAATCCCGTTATCAGCTTCAATCTCGCTCAGTCTTCTGGTGGTCTCACTGTATCTATGGGTACACCACGCACAGCATGTACACAGTACCCGCACAACTGAAAGATTACGTGAACTTTCATGGTTTTTATTTTTATTTATTTTGTTTCAGCGCACCATGATGCACACTTGCAGACGGCGTTGCCAAAAGTGGGCTTTTACAAGATTCATACGTGTTCTCATCGCGAAGTTATACACGATATACAACAGTAATAATTATTATTACTATACGTACTACACATCTCTGGGGAATCAAATCATATATTACCAAATATTCACGTTGTATGTACATGTACTACTATATATAAGTTAGATGCCTGAGTCCAGGAAACTACGCGCATTAGAGAGCCGCTGGCGCCCCGGACTGTCGGCGTTCGAGCGCAGCGAGGACGCTACTAAGGCCCCCAAGGCGCTCTAATCGCGTAGTTTCCATGGACGAGGCGTCTAACTTGTTAGAGCTATGGCAACGCGTGCGCGCAATTCAAATTCGGTGCATGTGAAACCGCGATCGAGCGCTGCTTCTCGCTGGGAAGTCAAGCGAGAGGCCCAGGGAGGACGTCGACAACGGGCTCGACTCTATACACCTTCGCAGACCGTTGGGGGACTCCGCCCAACGTAAGTGAGCCATTGCGCATGCGCCAAATTAGAGTCAGGAGAAAGTTTATTTAGAGTCCGGGAAATTCGCTCTACTCGAATTAGAGTCCGCGCTGGACCAATCAGATTGCGCATTAAATTACCCCGCTCTAACAGTTGGGATATACTTATAGTTCTATCTTTAGTAACTAACATTATTTCCTCCTCACCGCTCTTGGCTCTCTCTCAGTTTCTCCATCAGCCGGTCTCTCTCCTCCAACATGGAGATCATCAACTGCTCCAACTTGTTATTCTCGCCATCGGGACTGGGAGACGACTCCGTATGGTCGGCAGCACTTCGCACATTGTGGTCTACTGAGGGGGGTGGGGTGGGGGGCGAAAGTCGAGAAAAGCTATATATTCCACAATATTTACGACAAAATGTGTAGTAGTCAACATCACACATTTTAATCAGTTTATTCTACGACTTTAGGTTTTTAAGGACTTTTGCCACCTGTCAGTTGTGCCTATTTTAAACTAAACAGACGTTATGAGTGCCTTTTGCGTTTTCTTTCTTATAATGCAGTAGTTCGCTTTTGCTTTGCCCTATGACATCGTTGCTATTTCTGAGTGTAGACTTATAAATGTTGTTAACAGCATGTTGTACAGTATAATTATACAGCAGCGTGTGCAATTTTTGGTGCTTCTGATTTGACGGTACCAAATACTTCCCAGCCCCAGCCTCTGTTGCTATGGCAATCGCAACATTCCAATTAATGCCCACTTCTCAACAACACATAAACAAAGTACATATGATTCAGAAAGCTATAATCAAGAACTCGCAGCAAAATGTCAGTTTAGTACAGACTCAACATAGTACTCTCATTACCATACTGTAACAGAGTATAAACTGAGCATCTGATTGGTCGAATTAAAATTTGATTTGAGCCAATTAGCATCCATTTCGGACGATTATCATTAATGACTGCAACAATCTAAATATAGCAACAGAATAGGCATCATCATTCCCTTGTGTCTATTTAAAGCATCGGAAGAAAACCTATGTATTATACTATTTGACAGAAGACCTACCCATTAATGTACTCCCTCTATACTGTACTATGACCAGGCATTCTACCAGGTGGATGGAATTGACAGTGCTGATACAATTAGCCAGTGGAGCAGAGTAAAACAGGTCGAGTATAGAGACGGCAAAAGTACAACTATGTTAGAGGAGAAGAGGAGGAGAGAGGTGGTGAGAGGGGTGAAGATGGAGGAAGAAGAGGGATGAGAATGAGTACTTACACCTTGACTTGCCTTTCTACCTCTCTACCTTACTGTTGACATGTACAAAGGGAAGAGGGAAGGAAAGAGAGGGAGAAGAAGGAAGAGGAGGAGAGAGGGAGAGAGAGGAAGAGAGGGAGAGAGGTGAGAAGAGAGGGAGAAAGGTGGGAAGAGAGGGAGAAGAGGAGTAAACCAACAAAGAGAGAACTAAATAACGAGAAGGAGGAAGAGGTAAAGGGAGGGTTGCTAGGTGAGAGATGTTTCAGAACAAGCTGTCAGTTGTCCCACTGAAAGGAGTTCAAAAACCAACCAACAGCCTCACTCCATTCATCTCTAATCATCTCCTCAATAGATCCCTAAAGCCACCGGAATAAATGCTGACTGCACCACATTGTCATTTTCTGAAGGTTTCATCACAATAAATTTGTGGAACCTGATATGCGTTGACCCACTCCCAATTCCTAGTCTCGTCCTCATTCCACGTCCACTAATCAGCCAGTACAGTTAATTGAAGGTAATTTCCTGCTAGTATTGGACGTAATGACACACACACTTACAGCTACATCAACACTTGGCCGACCACCACCACACACACAGACACACAGCATCGTCAAAACAAACAGACACACGACTGGCGAAGCGTGGCGGTACTGTAGACATGGACTAATACTACATAATGGTGTATTTGTAATAGCTATACAGATGCCTCTACAAATTTATTGCGATGAAAACCCTCTCAAGGACACCCCTGAAATGAGGACACCTCACTAAGGACACCCCTGAAATGAGGACACCTTCTCTAAGACACCCTGAAATGAGGACACCTCTCTCTAAGGACACCCCTGAAATGAGGACACTCACTAAGGGCACCCCTGAATGAGGACACCCTCAAAAGGACACCCTGAAATGAGGACACCTCTCTAAGACACCTGAAATGAGACCCTCACTAAGGACACCCTGAAATGAGGACACCTCTCAAGACACTAAATAGGCACCTCTCTAGGACACCCTGAATGAGGACCCACTACTAAGGACACCCTGAAATGAGGAAACTCACTAAGGACACCTCACTAAGGACCCCTGAAAGAGACCCCTCCTAGGAAACCATGAAATGAGGACACCTCACTACTCATAGACACCCCTGAAAGAGGACACCTCACTAAGGAACAACCCTGAAATGAGGACAACTCACTAAGGAAACCCCTGAAATAGACACCTAACTACACCTGAAAATAGACACCCTCTCAAAAAAAACCCCTGAAATAGGACACACTCACTAATGACACCATAAATTAGAACCTCACTAAGGACACCACTGAAAAAGGACACATCCCAAACACCCCTGAAATGAGACACCTCTCAAGGACACCCCTGAAATGAGGACACCTCACTAAGGACACCCCTGAAATGAGGACCCTAGGACAACCCACTAAGGACCCCACTTAAAGGACACTCACTAAGGACACCCCTGAAATGACACCCACAAGACAACCTCACTAAGGACACCCCTGAAATGAGGACACCTCCTAAGGACACCCCTGAAATGAGGACACCTCACTAAGGACACCTCACTAAGGACACCCCTGAAATGAGGACACCTCTCTAATACGGAAACTTTTTCTTCCAACCTTTTCCCCAAGAACAGTTCTTGCATGCAATTTAACCCCTGAAATGAGAACACCTCATTAAAATGGACACTTTCTTCAGTCTTATTGGTCTCTGGATTAGAGGAATTCACTACTGCTTTGCAAGGTAGTAAAAACGTACACTATACAGATGCCTTCTTCGTCAATAATCAGTGACTAACAAATTCCTATATCGTGAAACTTTCGCGAGTGGAAATTTGTCTTGGATAAGTAAGTCTCAAACGCACAGCCATGAACTGTAAAGCAGCAGTAGTCGTAGTACAGTAGTGTGATGGGAACACCTGCAGTCTAAACTGATCAGGAGCCCTTGTGGGCTTCTACACGTCTTCAACACCATCTACAGCTCTTTATATACACCTCACACATACAATAATGTCTCCATCGCACATAACTTCACTCACTCACAGTGAGGGATTCCTATAGAATATTCCAGAATAATCCAGCTACACGGAGAACAATCCGGACATGTGTCCGACAGCGACAACACCTGCGTACAGACACGTAGACAGCTACCGTTCCTCTCTCCCGGAACAGAGCTACGGACGAGCCCACACGCGCCGCAGGGGCGTCGGTCGGCACCTTATGAATATCGTTACACTTCCACACGCCGGGCAGTCAGAATCTCGTCATTTGCCGTTTGACGAGAAACCGGGTTCACTCCTCCGTCGATCCTTCTATCTGCGTACGAGGAGAGAAGGGGAGGAAGAAAACGGCTGTGTCTTCGAAAGCTACAGGGTCACGTGAGGATCACACGACAACATAAAATTGCTGATTCAGCAAACGTTTGCTTCGTCATTGCACAAACACGACGAGAAGATTTCGAGAAGGTCTTGTGTGTTGTGCAGACTGAGAGTCCTGTGTATTACTTCCCTGGATACCACAGTTAACAGACTGTGTGGCAAGAGTGAGTATATAGTGCGCCGTTTTGTGCCGTGTGGGCTGAACGCGACTGTGAACGAGTGACTGTTGTGTATACTTTTAGCGGGAGAGATGGAGATGCCTGGTGATAATGGACAGCCGTCTACTGGAGCGAGCGGCGCTCCTCTCGCCAGTACTACTCGTCTCCCTCCCCTCTACTACGGCCCTGGAGGTAAAATATTAGATACACCTGCCAGCTACGTATGGAGGCGTATGGTAGCTATGTAGTTTGGTGTCTCCCACTATGACAGGAGTAAGGAATGCACATTACTCAAGTGATACATAACCTCATTATGGTGTGGTCTAGTGCGTACATACGGGCCAGCTAAAGTACATATGTATATCGGAACGTCTGTATTGAGATAATACTAGTCTATCATATCTTCACAAAGCTGCCAATGGAACATGTAGCCCTATCAGTTACTCTGACTAGCATTATGGTGAAGAATGCATGAATCAATACAACACCACATAAAACGTTTGTTACTACATATAACAGTATGTGTATATATGTGTACATTATGACTGGGTATATACCTGGTTTGAAATAATGGTCCCAGAATGTGTCACTTTCAATGACAATGCATTCCTTCCCCTCCACCCACTTGCTGAAAGTAAGAACATGTTTGTCATCTCTGTCACTGTATATACAGGTGGAGTAGTTGATGGTTTTCCCTGCGGCCTGTCGTCTCTCACTGGCCTTCCTAATGAATCCCCTTCATTCTTCCTCCCTCCTCACCACTTACACCTCTCACACCATTACCCACTCCCATCTTCCTCATCCTCACCCTTCACACATCGACCTGGAGCCCCTCCCACTTTCAATGACCACACCCTCTTTGGACAGCAAGCCATGCCTATGCTCACTAGCCACACCCACTTGGCCTCACCTAATAGAATCATGTCTAATGAATCGCTTCGAAACCACAACCTCCAATTCATACCCGAAACTCCACCCACCCTCACAAACTATTCCCACCGTCTTTTCCCTCACCATCAGTCTCCGCCCACTAATCAACTAAGCCACGCCCTCAATCATCGTCAATGCCAACCAGCAAACTTGTTCAGAACAGTCGCTATGACCACCCCTTCGTTAGTCGGGCAATCAACGTCGTCGGGGAACGGAGATGGAATGTCTGTGTTGTCATGGGAACGTGAAACACAAGAAGGGGCCACCCCTGGCTTATTAAGTCAGTCAAGTAGTGATAGCGCAGCAAATGGTGTGAGAAATAGCCCGGGAAAAAGACGGTTTGCCTCCACTGAAGAACAGTACAGCTCAGAATCTTACTCTCCTTTAGCTCCGAACAGGACAATTTTCAAAGCTCCACGTCTGGAGGATTGCGGCAGATCCGCCCTGCATGCCCCTGTAATCAGGGGCTCGTTTCAGAATGCCCACGATTCCATACCTCATTCCGGTGAGACGATAGGGACGAGGGGAACGCAGGACAGCAGAATCCTATCAGATACACTACTGCAACCACCTTCGCTAATTTCATCTTCATCATCATCTGGGAATCCTGCTAGAGACGATGTGAACAGTGATGTTGCAAGAGTTAGCTTCAATCTCAGACTGCCGCGCTACTCCGGTGGAGCCACGCCCACTTCCAATGTTGCCAGTAGCAACCAGACGGCATCAATGTTGCCGGGGGCAACAGGGGGCAAGCGACAAAATGAATCCGTATTATTCGGCGATCACGAAACTGGTGGCATCGGAACCTTCACGTTGTTTGAGCATCCTTCTCTTTCCGTCGACTTACCCCAATCAATGCCCACCATTACATCATCGTCGGCAACGGCAGCTCCTACCTCATGTGATCAGACAGTGCCTCATCACTGCACCTCGTCGTCGTCGGTGGTTGCCCCGGCAACCCAAACGAGGGGGCGTGGTTTCTCGTTGAGTGTGGAGATCAGTGGTAGCAGTGATCGAGTGGATAGTATCGATTTGAACCTTGACGTCTCTGGAATTCCAGTGAGTGCTATAGTGTATGTATGCATGTGATGAAACGTCTGAAAATAAGTGACTGCCATTGCACTAGGGCCATAGACCACGCCCCCAGAGCAATGGGCGGAACCGTTAACAAACGAACATTATATGAACATGAGGTGTCTGTCTCACCTCCAATCTACTCTGCAACATCCTTTATTCTTCAGAGGTGTCCATTATTCACATTATTGACGAGCGAAGTGGAAGACACACGCGAAATATTGAACTGCTCGCCGCTCACTTGCCAACAATGCGTTGCATTCCTTTAGTACTAACCTAATGGGTTTTAGTATGCGGCCGTAGGACATTGGTTTTTAAGAGAGGTGTCCTTTATAGAGAGGTGTGTCCTTTCTTTATAGAGAGGTGTCCTTTATAGAGAGGTGTGTCCTTTCTTTATAGAGAGGTGTCCTTTATAGAGAGGTGTGTCCTTTATAGAGAGATGTCCTTTATAGAGAGGTGTCCTTTATAGAGAGGTGTGTCCTTTATAGAGAGGTGTCCTTTCTTTATGGAGAGGTGTGTCCTTTATAGAGAGATGTGTCCTTTATAGAGAGCATGTCCCTTTTCTCAGAGAGGTGTCCTGTATAGAGAGGTTGTCCTTTCTTTATAGAGAGGTGTCTCTTTAGTTTAAGGCGTGTCCTTCACTACTCAAGTATCGGGGTGGTGGACACGGCAGTGTTCCTTTTCAGTGAGGTGTCCTTATTAGAGCGTGTCGGTCCTTCCTTACTCGTATGGGTGGAACTGCCGTGGTCCTCGTTCTCGAGAGAGGTGTCCTTTATTTAGAGGTGTCCTTCACTACTAGTATTGGGTGGAACTGCAGTGTCCTTTCAGTGAGGTGTCCTTAGTCTAGACGTCGCGGTTTTACTCAGTTACGGTAGGTGAGTGATCAAAATTTGCTCAACTTTGCATTTGCTTCTCTCTCTCCATCACAGACATCATCAGAATGTGCTGTTACTTCATCGTCCATTCCCTACAACCCTCCCTTCTCTCCCCCTCCCCCTCCTCCTCCTCCCCCTATCTCTGTCTCTTCTACACTTTCCCTCTCTCCCTCTCCCCCTCACCCCGCCTCCTCGCCTCCCGCAGCGAATGGCCTGAGGTCTGAACCTGGCACCAGTGGTCTTGGCAGAGAAGAAATCATCAACGTAGACAGCAGTGATGATGTAAGGTTTGAGAAAAAGGGGTGCAGGGGTGAATGTCGGACACGTTGGAACGTTTCTGCCTTAAAGATCTGCTAACGTTCATTTCGTGCCACACTGTATAATATTATTCAGAAGTTCCATATCACCTTTGGACGCCATGGGGTTCAGCTTAAATACGCAGAAATTGATGTATAAACTATTAGCGCCTAGTAGTATAACCCCCATATTAATTCTTATGGACTTATTGAGGCTCGGGACACGTATAAAATACTCTTTACAAGTTTGTATCTACTTATTGTTCAAACACTTTCATATGTACTGTGTTTTTGTATGTATAATATATATATATAATACAGCAAGGGATTTCAAGCTGTAATGCATGTACTGTGTGTTGTGTTGGTGATGACACATGAGGGATCTTTGTGAAGACTATTTGTTGTCTCGTCCACAGGAAGATGATCATCACGTAATTATGTTCACTCGCGAGCCTGACAACCGTCGTCTTGGCAACACCACCCGTCGTCGCGATGCCACGCAAATGTCGCAAGACGAGCGAGTGGCTCGTCACCTCCAGGCCCAGTTTGACAGAGAACTGGACGTCTCAGCTGTCACTCACCCCTCCTCCTCCTCCTCCTCCTCTCACAGGAGACTGTTTGGTGAGCTGAGAGGTCAACGGAGGTCACAGGCCGACAGCAATCTGTGGTCATCGCGAGGGTACGTGTGCCATGTGTGATCGCTGTGCTCTCCTTATTAATAATTTTTTATTCCAGCCGTCTGGCGTAATTCCTTCTCTCCCTCTCCAAACCACTACTACTCCTGGATCCGTCTGTCCTCCTACCAGGTATATATATACATAATACTGTAGTTGTTTGCTAGAATGATAGAACAGTGTACATCCTCTTGTATTATAAATAGCCACAATGCTAAGGTGAATGCACATATTTGTCGATATCTGATCACATGACTCCAAACTCAACTGACCAATCAGATTCAAGCTACATAATAGTTAGACGCTGATTCGAGGTAACTACGCGCAGTAGAAAGCCGAGAGCCCCGGCATTGTGGCGCCCCGATCGCAGCGAGGGCGCTACCCCCTGGGCACGAGTCTGCGAGGAATCATGCCTCTAACTATTTTAGAGTGAGCGCTCACGTTGAGCGCTCTGGCTTTCCTGTTTGTTCGTGTGGCTGAGCGCTTCTAACGATAACTCGATGAAGACAGGATCAGAGCGCCAGAAAATGCAGTGCAAGGAGCGTAGCGCAGGACTACGCGGTAGCGACTCCGCCTTCTTTTTCTGGTTGTGCTCGACGGTCTGCGCGCAGTCTGCGCGTGCAGCGTGGACGAACGCGTCAATGTAGATTTCCGTCCTTTGTTGATCTTGTTGTTTACATGTACATTTTGTTATGTTTTCCTGTTTTATCTGTAGGTTTTGTAGTTTCTGTAGGTTTACTACATGTAGTAAACCCCGTCGAGGTTTACTACGGGAAATAGTAAACCTCGGCTTTGCAATCTGATTGGTCAATTCGAACCTAGCTCACTCTAAAGTATGTGATGACATGACCTCCAACCAATCATATTCCAGTGTTCCACGTCATCACATGACTCTTTCTCTCTCAGCACCAGCAACTACAGAGCACTGGCGTCCCACATCCACCACATTACTCCATCTGATGCCCACCGTCTACTTCAGGTGGCTTCTCACTCTGGCCACGCCCCCTCAGTGGGTGGGGCCTTCTCTGGCCACACCTCCTCGGTGGGCGGGGCCAGAAGACGTCCTCTACAGCTACGTTCAAGCCCTACCGTCATTTTCAATGCCATTATGGGAAGCCACACCTCCTATGAGGTAATGCTTAAAAGGTTGCCATGCCTCCTATGAGGTAATTTCAGCAATCTTAATATGCCCGCAATCACAAAGCTTCTTTCAGCCATTCACAATCATAGACATTGACTTCCATGGCTGAGGTGAATAGAAAATAGTTTAGTCGCGTAATGATTTTCACAGAAATCATGTCATTCCACATTGTTCCTGGTTGTTCCACAGGAGTTACTGGAACTGGCAGAGAGACTGGGTCCTGCCCAGCCACGGGGCCTCTCCAGAGATGGTACGTTTAACCCCTCTCTCACTGTAACTTACTGCTTTAACCCTTCTCCCACTACACTCTTATTGAATAGAAACTGTTACTCAAACAAGCGTGTGTCCATTTTAAACCTCTCCAGAAATCAGTAGGCTCCCGTCAAGAACTCATCGTAAGAAAGACGGAGACGACAAGAGGTTAAAATATATAAGTATTATACAACACCACACTGTAGCTCTATTTAGAGCACACCTTATTAGGAGAAGCTGCATGAAACTGAACAAATTGTCCTTTAATAGAGAGGTGCTATTTTGTAGTGCACCACACCTTGTGCCTGCATGGTTTATTATCAGAACAGTGGACACTTGGGATATAACTTGTGGGGTTTAGAAAATGCTCTGCTGATACCTCCCTCCCTCCCTCCCTCCCTCAGTTGTGTGGTGTGTATGAGTGAGTTCCAGATGAGGGAGAAGATAAGAACCCTCAGACCTTGTCGCCATGACTTCCACCAGAAGTGTATCGACAGATGGCTCAAGGTGTCCACCATTTCCACCTTCTCTCCTCTTCTCTCTCTTTTCCTTCTCCACCCTTTCTTCCCCAAAACCCCCCTTCTCTCTACCATTCATAGTTTATAGCTGGAAATGTTCCTATTGTGTGTACAAATGTGTCAAAGGAATGTCCGATGTACATGTACAAAGACTGTTACTGTGATGATGTTTAGGGGAACTTATGTGTAGAACAAAAGGTAGTACTGTTGTGTGGTGATTATTGTTTTACTTCTTTCCTTCAGGAACACAACACATGTCCAATATGTAGAGAAACTGTGACGACAATTTCATCTTAAATTGTTACGTAACACTCTGTAGCAACTGTTCTTTGTTTTCTCAACTCAAATTAATATTGTTGTCTACAATAATCATTAATTTATACAAAAATCAGCAAAATCACTGTGTAACAATACACTTCAACACAACTACCCTAACAATACACTCTTCAACAACATCTACTACGTGAAAAAGTCCTCACCCACTATG